ATATCTTTCATTCCACTATTAAGTCAATATAAATCGAAAACTCCTTTTCGACTTATGAGTACACCTTGGCCAAGGATTTCATCATCGACTTAATTGAATGAAACGCAGATCATCTCCTACTATCTAAGAGTGACGAATCCTTTATTGATCAATCACAACCTTCATACGATTCTTGACGTACCCGAACGATGTCGTATTAGCGGCCCCTTTCAGAACAACATCCAACACCGTCAAAGTATGACTGTCCTCATATAGGGTACTATGACGACCTCAAGTCAAAGGATCAATTTCACTACCGAACGTTAGAGATTAGCCACTGACACTCAGATATTTATCCATGTAGAATCTCTTAGCGGGTCTCCAATGTTTTGTTCTACAACAAAACATCCACATGTTCATTTAAGTGTCACCACACTTTAGCTCGTGAGATCAGCTACTTACTTCATAAGTAAGAAATGCCACACATGATGGTCTAACTGTATTAACGATATCCGTATCTCGTTATTACTTACGACCATGATTTATTCAAGATCCAATTATATGTAATTTGTATCTCACAATCACAACTCCTTGTGATTAACAGATTACCTAAAAATTGGGTCTTCGGATTCTATTATTTAATATTATTTATTACAAAATTAATTTAAATAAATAATAGATCTCGCCAAAATCAAATGCATTAAATATATTAAAAGCGTTTACAACCTAAATCGATTGGATCTAGGGCATAACACTTACAACATGCACGCACTAAGCTCTAATTTGGAATGTTCCTCTACTAGTACATAATCGTGACAATAAATTTCCTGCTATGGACATGTTGAAACGAAATGTAATTTTTTCTTTGAACTTGTTGGCAATTGGATCTAAGTACCACAAAATCTCGACCCTTCTCAAGTGATAATCTATGCGTCCCCATTCCTCAAATCTAAAGGATCACGTGTTGTATCAAGACCTAACTCTTCCATTGCATCAAGAGACAGTGCACCTTTCGAGAGCTAATCATGGATAATTCCTACTATTGCGTTTGAATTATTACGTCTAAGCCATCATTCAATTGCAACTTGAGATTATATGGGTCTACACTATCATTCGATTGCAACTTGATAAATTCATTTTGCGCGTTTATATGGTTGAGTTTGAAATCTAAATCTGATACCACTTGAAGTGCCATCTGAAAAGATTTATCTACTTTTCTATTAGGAATGGTACACTATTTTTTATTTTCGGAAAAATCCAACCTATATGTAAATTTTATTCGCACCACTCAACTCAATTAATGATTGAAAACATAGTTTTCAAGTACGTCTAATCTTCTTAACATTATTAAGAGCCTAATGGTAGATCAACTCCTTTGAAAGGTGGCCTTGCTCGACTTGGTTCTTGAGATTCACCTTTGGGAGCCTTTTCAACCTGACCGATACTTACAATGAGGGATCCACTTTTTTGAGACTTTTTGATTCACAGGAAGTCCACGCGTATGTGAGAGGATGTCAATCAAGGTGTCAATTTTTTTTTTGACAAATCAGCTTAATTCTTGAGAATATCAAGTATAAACAAAAAGAAGTTCGAAAAAGTTGGTGGGACTAATACCCTACTTAGGGTGGCACGGCCCACAAACGGTAGAGCTTTCCTTGATCTGTTTTTAAGCTTTACGGAAACTTTTAAACTTACACAAACATGCTTTACAAACAGTATGGTCCGACTCACTCCCCCAAAAAAAAAAAAAAAAAAAAAAAAAAAAACCCTGTACAAACAATCATATCATTTTGGCCCAGTTTCGACCCTGTTGTCACTTTCATAGGAAGGGAAAAATAATTCTCACGGTGATAACTCATAAGTGGGTATTATGGATTCCAAATATTAAGAAGCTTGTGAAAAAATTGTTAGTGATTTTCTTTTAATATCTCACTAATGATAGGTCAATAGATAAGGAAAATTAATAGAGCTAAACTCACTCTCTATAATTTAATGTATTCAAAGTATTTTAATTTTTGATGATTAAAAATAATATAATAATTTGTAGGGAAGTTAGTGAAATAAAAGATATGAAAAATAATATATATTTTTTTGGACTAGTAAAATTAAGCCCTTGTTTAAGCGAAATAGTGATTTTTTAGAAAATGTGTGGTTGAAAAATGAGAAAAAAATTTCTACTCACGTGTAAAATTATTTTACTGAAAAATGTGTGGTTGAAAATGAGTTTTGCATTTTTATTTTTATTTATTATATTTTAAATGGAGCTCAAACAAGTGCAATTTTAAAGATGAAAAGCCTATTAAAGTACTTAAATTTTTACCCTCTAAATTACAAAATATGTTCTTTAAAAGTAAAATCTCTTTGGAATGCTCTTTCTCTAAAGTTTAAATAGTTCAATTTCGATCTAGTTAGACTGTACATATGCTTCATCAAGCATGGAGTTTCTGAATATTGTTACAAAACACCTACATTTGACACGTGAAAATTTTAGTCAATGAAAATTTACATTTACCGATAAAAAAAAAAGATTGAGCCTCCTATGATTACAAATAACACAAATAGTTTTGGAATTATATGTAACCACACATATTTTTTTGACAAACTCACTGCTTGTTGGTAAAACGTTTGTTTGTTAAAAAGTTGATCCAACGTAACTTTCAACTGTGAGTAAAATTATACTACTTATATAATATTTAAAATATCCTGAGCAACTCGTCGCTTTGGCCGAGTGGTTAAGGCGTGTGCCTGCTAA